CCTGGTCTACCACCAGACAGGAAAAGCCACATTCTTCAGTGATTAAATCATAAAAGATGTATAAAGCTCCAGGTAATCTTAACTGTCACCGTTATCTAAATGCACTTCCCAAGACAGAAGACTTTACTTTTGCTTTAAGTTCTGCAAACGTTTTGTATCTGCCAGTCTCATTGAAAAAATAACAAGATTGGACCTTAAACACAGGGCGTATATAAAACACCTAATTAAAGTCTGCAATTGCATTTTTTTCAAAGCATACATCTATTATTTCATGAGAGTGTTTGAAGCTTTAGACATAGAAGACCACTTGTAAACTTGAAAACTATAAAGACTTCTATTAAAAATATGTATCTTCAATCAGTTTGGAATTCTTAAAAAAATCTCTTCTACTCTCTGAGCCCTAACACAGTCACGCTCATTCTAAATGACATTTTTCATTGTAGGGCAACTTAAAACTATCTGTAATAACCACAATCTTCTCTGAGGCTATTTTCTTAGCAGTCAGAAATGTTATTATTATTTTGGATAGAAGATTCAGAACATAAATAAAGTGCAACAGCTTTCCTTTAATGACATACAAATCTGTACCTTGTTTACCAGGACTATTCCATACAGATAAATTACTAATTTTAATCACTATTCATATAAAAAATTTCAGGCACTGTCAGAATACTGAAATTCATAATTCCCCTTTTGCAACATTGAACTCATCTGCATTACTGGAGAATCCTGCTTCTGTCTAAATAACTGCTGCTAAAGCCAGGTTTTTGAAATTTGACCGGATCTATGATGAAATTCTGGAGTTTCCCAGGTTGGCATCGCATGCTAAAAATTATGTCTGCAGGCTTTTTTTTTTTTCTTTGCCACAGCTGAAGGTCAGTGGTTCAGTGGAAAGATCAGCTTGTACAAGTTGCACATGCCCCATCCTGTAGATTAACTGAGGTACAAATGAGAAAATGTTTACCTCCTCTTACACTACTTAAATTCAAATTAATTTCTTAATACTCACCTAACAGAGTTGTTCATGTATACGTGGACTATTTGTGTGGTTCCTCATTCTGATGGAAATTTGAACACAAACCAAGCAGTATCCCTGAAATCTCCACACTTATTTGACTGTAAAAACATAAGCATTTCTTTTCCTTAGTCCCTTGACTCCTCTAAATTACTCTTTCTTGACTTGTAAAAAGAACTGCATATTGGTTTTATTTAAAGATAAAACAAAAATTTATGTCAGGCAAGATTTTTCAATTACTACTTTTAATTGTGCCTCACCCAAGATATTCCTGTGCCTGAGCACACTCCTATTCTCTTAAGGAACTCAAAAAACTGACAGAGGTTACTGAGTCCAAGCTCCAGAGCTATGGCTGTTCTGACAGCCCTCAAAATTGCCTTGAAAATATAAAGCCAGTCTTCTACTTCAACATGTCCAATCTGGAAGAAAAATAATAACATTGGCTATTCTGAGGAAAAAAAGTCTCAAAAGCTCCCAGTGAGACCGAACTGAAACTCCAGAATTTCATCATTCCATAATCTGAATGATGTGTTTACAGTTTCCTGTCCCTGCTGCTGGTCTGAACTCCTGCAAACCTTTGCAGGCAAATACCCTTTAAATTTCTAGAGAGCTTCATTTACCCTCTGCCACACTATTGTTTTTCAGTGTGGAAAAAATAAACAGCTCCTTTAAACATACTAAGAACTAGTAATCAGGAAATTGTACTTCAGTGAGACTCACTTTTACCTATTCAAGGAATAATATGTCCCAAGATGCCAAGGTGGTTGGGGCTCCACAGTATTTTACTGCTCAAACTAGACACTGGTCTCAATGTCTCCTGTCTGCCAAGCTCAAAACTTTCCATGACCAGGGACAGAAGTTACTGAAAAGCAGAAAGGACACATACAGAAGGAGGACAAAGGGTGAAGAGTTTCCAGGTGTGACTTTAAGGTATCTCACTGGTCTCTTCCAGCACAGCAAAATCTATCTCAGTAGATCCTGTTTGCCTAAAGACAAGCCTGTATTTTCCCCATAGCTGAGCTGGAGTCTGAAGAGAATACCCTGTTTGCTCTGCTCAGGGAAATGGCGCCATCCCCTCCAGGAATATTTAGCAGTTTGAGGGCTTTTCTGCTTTGAATGTCTACCCCCCACACACTACTTTCATCCAAATCACAAAAACCTTTTTTCAAATACTTCTAAAATTTCAAAATAAACAGTTCCACGGTTTGCAGGCATGAAATCAGCAAGATTCTCCAAGATGTTTGGTAGGACTATAAGTTGATTGCAAAGTTTTCTTTCTTTTCCTTCTCTCTGCAAACAATATCCCCAAATCCTTAAGAATATGGTGTTATCATTTAGGTATATATAAATATGATGTATTTTTAAGACCAGGGAGAAACAAGTGTGCAGTTGCAAATAGTTCTGTACTAATTCCCATTTTGCACCAATGCCTTGTTATCATGCATCTCTGAACAGCCATGCCACCCTGAACCCTAGCCCTATTACTAAACATAATTCATTTCTTTATTACTTCTTGCAACTTAATAGAAACTAAGCAACTAAAACTTTAGATGCATTCTTCAAATAAAATCCTACAGGACGAAATCAGCTTTTCAAAACAATCTGATAAAAGAATATCCAGACAAAATCTCAATATTGTCTTGACACAGAATTAAATGACCAATATACTCTATTTTATCTAAATATCTTACCCACAACTTCTACTTATTGCACGGTTTGCAGTTCTAGCAGTGTTCATGATTAGATGCTGACACAGCTGAATCCTGCTAGCTCTGATGTACCAGGGATCTGAGCCTTACTGTCTGAAGGATGGGTTTCACTTTCCTCTGGCTGTTCCTTCTCTCAAAACCAGTGCTGAATACAGGCAAGTGGTGCCCATACAGCTACAGCAAATGAGCCAAATGTCCACTTTATTGTGAATCCCTGAATTTCCACTGGGAATGAAATAATAATTATTTGAGAAATTAACAACACTTTGTAGCTGCTGATTGCCTTTGAAAACAGATTATTCTTTTTCCTCTGATTAATACTGCCAAGAATGTGAACCTCCCACTGCAGCAAGGTCAAGGAATCTAGCAGAGTATTCACAAGCTGCCACTAGGTGCTCACAAGATTCCCTCACAAATTCCCTCAAGTCACATAATACTTAATTAAAAAAAAACAACAAAACACATTTGCCTGTGAGCGTAAAATGAAAAGAAACCCAGCGCAGTTATCAACACATACTAACTAGCACAGCTGACTTCAGAGCTGTACATCTAATTTTTCAATCAGGCCTGGAAGCATTTCTAAAAGCCTTACTGCAGGAAGGCTTATAGACTTTATCCAGTAATTGCTTTCTGTATCTAACTTCCAAGATAGAATAAGCAGGACAGGCTGCTGCCTTTTGTGACCATCGTGGTCTGTCTGCAACTAAAATTTATTCACTTAGAAATCATGGCTTCATCCAGGGCACTAATTATCAAGGGAACAACCCCTCCTGACATACTGGGCTTTGAATCAGGACCCTTCAGAAGAACAGATATTCCTACCTTCTAAGCAAAAAGAGGGGAGTATAAAAGCAGTTCTTTAGCAGTTTTACAGCAGTTTATTTTCAAAAGAGGGTGAGTCGAATACAAACACAGTTCATGGTATTCAAACCTCCTTATTGTCAGAAGAAGCTGGAGAGTAAAAAAATGAAGATTCACTGCCAGGAACAACCAGACATGTTAGAAAACAACTAGGAAAATGTAGATATCAAATAGTTCAAATAACTTCATCCAAAATAGAGAGGCTTGGGAGGCAAAGATTTAAGGGTTTCATTTGTCTTTGCAGCACCCAAATCTACCATTGTATATGCTGGAGAAGCCATTTCTTTCTTCTTCTGGGGGGTGGGGAAGAAGCAGTGAAAATTTCCTTGCCATTTTCAGAGAATCCTGGCCTGTAAATAAAAAAGGAAGGAAGTAATTGCTGTCTTTTTTTCAACTGAAGCTAACACGAAGTGCTCAACATCCACATCCAACCCAAGCCCCAGCAGGCCCAGGGCTAAGGTGACCCTGCCCGTGCCCAGGGCTGCCAGCACCGCTGCCACTTTGCCGGCAGCGTGCCGGACACCCACAC